CACAGAGTTCGTTCAGGTTCAGGATCAAGTTCAATTAGACCTTCCACTCCTTTAGAGCGGGTGTGCATTCATTTATCCTGAAATCTTTATACAAATTGTCGCAAGGGCGAAAAAGTCTCCCTAACTAGAATTCACCTATGCTAGAATTAAATCAAGAAATAATCGTGCCATTCCCCGGCAACGGCGCCATTTGATAACCGCTTTCGCGGCGTTGTAGTAAAACGGAGTCTAACCTTTCGGTTTTTCCCCGAGTGTCGTGTCTCTTGAGGAATGGCGGAGAAGTTTCTTAATTTAATTTTAGTCACGGGCTATCGCTAATCGTTGGAAGCCTTTTCAATATAGGAAAGTGTTTTTGTTCTTTATTATGCTAAATTATAACTAGGAGCAAGGTGCAATTTAAAGATTAATGTATAAAGACTGATTATTCAAGGATGCAAATAAGGGCAATGAATTGAGTAATTAGAAATGGATATGTTCTTGGACCTCTTAATTAGGGAAATTAAGACTAAAGTTGGACTAATAATTTCTTTCCTCATAGACAAGAATAGAAACTATCTTCATTAATTTATCCTATTTCTAGGTATCATTAATGTGTTTAAAATGGTTGGCTTAAATTAATTTCTAATCTCATAGACAAGTTAGAATTAATTTTCCAAGAATTTAATTAATGAAAATGGCTAACTATTATTAATTACTATTTCATCATTTTAAACAACTAGTCCAATTTATTAATTTTACCCCCTAATTTTAGGTCAACAAGTCAATCCATATTCCTTTACTCAATTCATGCCCTAACAAATTTAGCTACTCATTATCATTTTTACAATTAACGATATAATAATTAAATTCAACATTAACAAGGAATTAAACATGTATGATAGCAAAAATTAAACAAAAATTATATTCTGGAACAATAAACTTGTAGGAACTAAAATACAACTTTCTGGAATTTTTTTACGAATTTTTGAAACTAAAATCCAATTTTAACAACTAATTGATAACTTTCCCAATTTTAACTAGAAAATACAAAAAGCAACTAAAAATATGCTAACTTCGTTATAAATTTTATTTTTAGCTACTGGGAGGTATATAACTGTGAATAAACTGTAATCAGGTCCGAACTAATTTTTTTTTTCCTTTTTTAGTATTTATTTTGATTTAAGCAATAATATAAGGTAATTACCGAAATTAATAAAAAATACTCTAAATTCGTACCAAATTTTATATTAACTACTAGTAATGATATTTAAGTTAACAAAACTGTAAATAGGGCCGAACTCATTTTTTTCTTTTTTTCTAGTATTAATTCTAAATTATGAACTAATATCAAATAATTACCAAAATTAATTAAAAATTACTTCTGGTTCGTGAAAAATTAATTTTTTCAGATAAATAACTACCTTGAGGCTATTGAACAACTATATAATTAATTGGAATGAATTCAACAACAATAACTATTTTATTTGATTTTTGGAAGGAAATGCGAAATACTTGAAAAATAATCTGGAAATTTTCGAAGAACAGATCGAAGAAACAAAGCACAGATTCAGTTTCTACACATTGAGAAGATGAAAATACATATAAAGACCTTACAATTTGGAGCTAAAATGAAGAAGATATGAAGATTTGAAGTTTCTCTCTCTCTAAACCCTTTGGAGCTCGAAAATGGAGGAAGGAAGAAGGTGTTTTGAACTGATTTAGGGTTGGAAGAGGTGTGTTTGGGTTGAGGAAAAAGCCTGGTTTTTATAGCAAAACAAATCCCGAAGGCGCCCAAGCAGGCGGCCGCCTTCCGTCGGCATCTGGCCGCCTGCCGTCTTCTCACCGGCAAGTCATCGTGGGCCGGTCTCCGTCAGCCGTAGGCGGCCACAGAGGGCGGCCGCCTTCCGCCAAAACTGGCCGCCTACCGTCTTTTCGTCGGCAAATCGGATCGCGGTGGGTCCCGGCGGATCCCGGCCGCCGCAGGCGGTCCAGCAGGCGGCCGCCTGCCGTTCCTGTCTGGCCGCCTGCCGTCAAATCCCACCGGCCGGCGGTTGCGTCGTCGTCTTCTGCCGCAGGCGGTCACCGTAGGCGGCCGCCTTCCGTCCAGTGTCGGCGGCCTACGGTCTTTTCCGAATCCGGTCAAAGTCAAAGTTTGACTTTCCAAAAATACCGTAGGCGGCCGCGAAGGCCTTCAGTTTGGCCGCCTGCCCGGCCGCCTGTGAGATTATTTGTCCGGCTTGTTCCTTATTTTGTGCTCTTCAATATTTTCTTCTGGACCAGCTTGAAATAATGTTTCCTTCTTTCGGTATGATATCATTTGTTGCTCAAATTGGCTCATTTTGTGCTCAATTGACCCGAAATTCCGACAAACATACGATGAATGTGGTTTTCACCCGATTTCATGAAACTTGAACCAAAATATATAAAATGTGCCTTGTTTTTCTATTTTTCAATCCAGAATTGCTTAAATTTGATAAGAAAAATAAGTACAAAAATGGACTTATCAGGCGCCGGAACCGCCGGCAAAGAAGAGCAAGGGCCCAGGAGGGCAAGGGCACAGCTCGGGGAGCGTGAGGCCACCGAGGTGTCCAAACTGTAACAAGAATCATGCCGGGAAGTGCAATGCACCACCCCGGTGCTACAAGTGCGGTAGCACAAGTCACCTCAAGCTTTCTTGCCCCATGTTGAATGGAGGGGGACCATCGGGGGCTATCGAAGGACCTACGGCTAGTAGGGGACGTGCGGGACCATCACAGGCCGGCACGGGAAGGGGCGGACCTACGGCGAGCAATGTCGCGTCCGTTAACCAGGGTAGGACCCAGGCACGAGTGTATGCAATGACCGAGGCGGATGCGCGAGCAAACCCGGACTCCGTTGCAGGTAATGTATTAAACTATTATATGTTTCTAGGCTTATACTAAAGTTATAAGTCCTAGGGGTCAATTGCAAACTGACTTAGGGTCGAATCGGGGGGAAATTCAATTAAACCAGGCCGATACCCGACCGGGTAAGGCAGGTCACCCGACCGGGTATACTGAGATTTTTGGCCTGGTAAACCCACTGGAACGGATACCCGACCGGGTATAGTATGTTACCCGACCGGGTATGATGAAATTTTATACCCGCTGGCTTCTGGAACGGATACCCGACCGGGTGCAACAGGTCACCCGACCGGGTATGCCAAATTTCTCTACCCGCCGTTGTTACCAGACCGGGCATAGCAAGAGGATTGCTTCTGGGTTGGATACCCGACCGGGTACAAGGGTGTACCCGACCGGGTGTTGCTATATATTTTAAATTACGAACTTTTTCGGGGGCCTATAGTTCAATTTTGGTAGGGAAAGTACCTTATATGACTTGTAAATGTAGGAACGTTAAAGATTAATGGAAGGGAGGCGAGGATCCTTATCGATACGGGAGCACAACGTTCATTCGTTAGTGAGGTGTTTGTCGTGGGATTAGGCACACCTTTAATACCAATGACGCAAACCCTTTTGGTATCTACGCCTCTAGGGGATGACGTTGAACGAAATGACTACTATCCTTCATGTGATGTGGAGATAGGGGAGCACTGTCTAAAGGGTGACTTCGTACCGTTAGCCATGCTTGAGTTTGATGCCATACTTGGCATGGACTGGCTTGAAAAACACCATGCAAAGGTAGATTGTTACACTAAAGTGTTAGAACTCAAGGATGGTGAAGGAAATGCTCTATGTCTCGAGGGAGATAGAGGAAAGGTCAATCCTTGCGTCATATCGGCCATAAGAGCAAGGCGTATGATGAGGAAGGGATGTCAAGCTTACTTAGCCTATGTCATAGGCAAGGAAGGCAAGGGGATGAGTCTCACAGAGGTGAGGGTGGTGAGCGAGTATACGGAGGTGTTCCCTGAAGAATTACCGGGACTCCCACCCGATCGGGAGATCGAGTTCGAGATCGAGGTTGAACCAGGCACCAAACCCATCTCAATTCCTCCGTATCGAATGGCACCGGCTGAACTTCATGAGTTGAAAGTTCAATTGGAAGAGCTACTAGATAACAGATTCATTAGACCGAGTCATTCACCATGGGGAGCACCAGTACTCTTTGTTAAGAAGAAGGATGGCACAATGAGAATGTGTATCGACTACCGTCAATTGAACAAGGTCACGATAAAGAACAAATATCCTTTGCCAAGGATTGACGACTTGTTTGATCAATTACGGGGGGCAACCGTGTTCTCCAAGATCGACTTGAGGTCGGGCTACCATCAACTGAAGATCAAGGAGAGTGACATACCCAAGAGTGCATTCCGTACAAGGTATGGTCACTATGAGTTCCTAGTGATGTCGTTCGGGCTTACAAATGCCCCCGCGGCATTCATGGACCTCATGAACCGAGTATTTCACGAATACTTGGACCAATTCGTCATAGTGTTCATTGATGACATTTTGATATACTCCAAGAATGAAGAAGAACACGAGAAACATGTGACACTCTGAAAATTTTAAATAAAATAAAACAAATAATTTTATTGGTCAGATAAAAATTAGTCAAATAAGATTTTGCAAAAGAAAGTTTTTCGAAATTAAGTATATCTGATAAAGTTTTAACATTTGCGACATTTTAGATAAGGTAACTAATAATTATGGAAGTGACATTTTTACAAATGTTAATTAATCAGTTAATAAGGTATCCTTTGAATAACATTTAGAATACAAAAGTTGACTTTTCGATTTTATATTTGTACACATACGGAATGCACACCTAAAATAAGAGTCCCTAAAATAATAATACTCGTAACAAATCTACGCAAACCTAGGTGGAAGTACTTTAATAAAAGGATACATATATACTCCTACGAATAAAACCAATATAGCGGCCGGATGCATGCACACCTACGAGTGTATACCTACGTTATTGCTTATACCATTATACGTTACCACAAATCACGCATGGCATGAATATCTTTTACGAAGGAAAGTTTTAAATGTAAATTTAAAGCCCAAAGATTTCTCAACGTATGAACGGTAAGACCAAACCATCGAACATCTATATAAACAGTAGTCCTGCAAACGACCTTTCTGCATCCAAAAGGAATGAGCGAACAACGTAACGTAGAAAAGAAAAGAACAGGAAGAAAAAGGGGAGAGAAAGAGAGAGAGAATAATTAGGGAGTTGAGGGATAATAAAGGTATGAGGAGTCCGGCCGGAGCCATTGCCACCGCACCAGAGTGTTGCTGGACTGGACTACACGCTGGAGGAGAAAGAAGCTGACGCCGGAAAACCCTACCACAGTCGGAGTTGACGTCTCTGGAGTAGCTACGGAGCCGGATTCCCCTCGGTCTGGTTTGCCGCCGTCGAGAGCGGCGTTGCTAATTCCTTCCGTGAGATCGAAGTACTGTAATCTTCCATACTCTGCTGCGTTTCTTGTTTCTTTTAGTTCACTGGGCCGAGCATTAGCAAGACATGGGATCGGGTTACCTTAATAACAAGAATAATCGGGTTAGTAGAATTTTAGTACGACACAAATTGATATTATTCACTTTTGTATATAAGTTGTCACTTTTTAATTGGGATAATAATGTATCGTGCAAAAAGGCAGTTTTTTATTGATTGTTTTAACCAGGCTGATTAATACGGAGTAATAATTTACATGTCTATGGGTTATTTCAATTACCTTTGTAAAATTAAAATGAACTGGAGCAGTAGTTAACTTAAAATGTAACTCGACTATGGATTTTCCATTCAGGCTTCATCGGCGCTCGAGGCAGAAATGCAGGCTGTAATTTTGGCAACCCGGTGGATGGTTGAAAAAGGCTTCGATGATTTCGTTGTGGAATCAGATTGTTCTTTAGCTCTGGAGTACTTTGCAGGTAAGGAGACGCGGAAATGGGGAAGACCGATTCAGGAAACCTTGCAGATGTCGAATAGGAAACATCTGAGTTTTGTGCATTCGGTCCGAGAGACTAATTGGGTCGCACATTATATTGCTGCGGCCCAAGTTAAGGAAACAGAAATATTTGGCAGCCCAGGTGATCTCCCGATCCATGCTAAGAGGGCTTATTGGATGGATTTCTTTGGAATTCCATCTTTTAGGTTTTAATTTCTTCGGTTCAGATTCGGTTTCTCTTATTGTTTTTTGGTTTATTTGGAATGGTTCATTTTTGGTGTTCACATGTTTGACTTTGTAGGGAGGTTTTGGTCTGGTCCCCCTCCTTTTATGTAAATTTCAGCATTTTTAATAAAATATCGGCAACTGACTCCCGGCACTTGCCCCACTGATTTTGGTGGTTTGCCTTCCGGGATAAAAAAAAAAAAAAAAAAATGTAACTCGACTATTTCTAGACTAAAGTTGACGGTGAATAGCAAATTAAGGTAACTCTATTAAATAGAAAAGTACAAATCAAATTCAAGGAGAAGGGTAGAACAACTAAGCCATAATGTAAAATGGACATTGACATTGAGAATTTTAATTAATAGAAGGTGATCGAATTTGGAGAGGAAGCCAGTAGAAGAGCTTAGTAAGGCTATTGGAAATTAAAGTAAGTTTCTCTGTCAATCCAAAATTGTTTCCTCGTATTATATGCTTATTATGCATTATGTGATTAAGTGTGAATTTTGAATTATGTATGTGATTTTGAGAAGATATTAAATCTATGGTATTTGAGAAATACAAATGAAATACTTTTGGGGTGTTAAATATTTTTAATATCATTGAGACCATTTAGAGAGATTAAGAAATATTTTTGAAGTATACTTAATTCAAGATAAAAGTAAGGATTTTATAAGAGGTGAGCACCGCGGGAGAAATCCGCGGTGTCGGTTTTCCACATCCGGATAAATGTGGAGGGTGATTAGGGCTGCTACTACTAAGAAGTACAATTTGAGTTTTAAGTGACATTTGGATCTATGATCCCTTTTAAGAAGAAGTTATAATAGTAGTAGTCCCTAATCATTCAAGAATTTTAAAGGTGGGGTAGTTGGTAGACTGAGTCCCGATTACTCGTGACGACTTACTACTCGGAGGGCTTGGAATCCCTTTTTGGGGGTGTGCACACTTAAGGTAGTCGTTTCGTTTCCGCAAGAGCAGTTGTGGTACCGGCACTTGTTCGGGGTGGCCGTCCATAACCACGGTCCACCGGGCTCAATCGAAAGGTTGAGCACCGCCCTTCTAAATTACTAGGAAGTTAGTGAAAAAGAGTTTATTTTTTTTATGAGCAAAGAAGAAGAGAATTTTTATGGAGTGTGTTATTTTTATATAGTATTATATAAAAATCTATTTTTGCCAAACCTGATTATTTTACGGGGTTGGGTAGTACTTACTTAGCTCTAAAGCTAATTTTTGTTTTCTTTTCTTTGTTTTGTTTTCTGCACTTTATTTGTGCAGGTGATGATGCTTTGTTGATTGATGATTGCTTGATTCCCGAGAGCGGTTTAGAGATGCCTTAGACAAACTTAGTCAAGAATAAACATTTTAATTTACTTATGTTTTGAACACTAGTTTTAGTTTGTTTTGTCTGGGGTTAGCCTGTGCATTCGGTTAAGAGATAACCGGATGTGGCGGTAACACCCATTTCCCATTTAATATTATTTCCGCTGCAAAACTTTTTATAAATCAAGTTTATTATCACTAAATCTATTATTTCAAGTACTATTTTGGGAGGGAAAATGGGGGTGTTACAAAACATCTAAGGCTCGTGCTTGGAACACTGCGGGAGAAGCAACTCTTTGCCAAATTCTCTAAATGTGAATTTTGGCTTGGGGAGATCGGTTTTCTTGGGCATGTGGTATCAGGCTCGGGCATTTCAGTTGATAACTCGAAGATTGAAGCAGTCACTAATTGGGAAAGGCCCAAGAATGTGAAGGAAATAAGGAGTTTCCTTGGTTTAGCGGGGTATTACCGCAAATTCGTGGAGAAGTTCTCTGTGATAACATCTCCACTCACGAAGCTCACTAAAAAGGGAGCTAAGTTTGTGTGGGATGACAAGTGTGAGAAGGGGTTTCTTGAACTGAAGAAACGGTTGACTGAAGCACCAGTACTTGCTCTACCCGTGCAAGGGATGGGATATAACATTTATAGCGATGCTAGCATCCAGGGGCTTGGGTGCGTACTGATGCAATCGGGTAAAGTAATCGCTTATGCTTCTCGGCAATTGAGGAAGTATGAAGTATACTACCCCACTCATGACCTTGAGCTAGGGGCTGTGGTGTTTGCTTTGAAGATTTGGAGGCATTACCTCTACGGTGAGGTGTGTCACATCTATACTGATCACAAGAGTTTGAAGTACGTGTTCACTCAAAAAGAGTTGAACATGAGGCAAAGAAGATGGATGGAGTTAATCAAGGATTACAACTTGATTATTGATTATCATCTAGGTAAGGCTAACGTGGTTGCTGATGCTCTCAGTAGGAAAAGTTCATCAGGGGTTTTACTCACATGCTTACGAGCATTGAGGGCACACGTGGAAGTATCCACGAATGGGGCTTTATTGGCCAGATTTGAGGTGAGACCCACCTTATTAGACGAAATCAGAACGCGTCAGGGCAATGACGAGGAATTTCAGAAAATCCGGGAACGGATGCTGGTGGGACCCGTCGAGGGTTTCCGTGAGAGAGAGGATGGACTCTTACTATTCAAGGAACGGGTGTGTGTGCCATCAGATGAGGAGCTCCGTAAATCTATCCTTGAGGAGGCACACTCATCTGCGTATGCCATGCACCCAGGCGGTACAAAGATGTATCGGGACTTGAAAGAAAGTTACTGGTGGTCGGGAATGAAGAGAGAGATTGCAGAATATGTGAGCCGTTGCCTTACCTGTCAACAGGTCAAGGCAGAACACCATCACCCGGCAGGGTTATTACAGCCACTTATCATCCCAGAATGGAAGTGGGAGCATGTTACTATGGACTTCGTGGTAGGTCTGCCACGGACGGTTAGGAACTACGACGCAGTATGGGTGGTGGTTGATAGGCTGACCAAAAGTGCTCATTTCCTACCTATCAACACTACTTATACGCTTGAGCGACTGGCCAAGTTGTATACAGATGAGATCGTGAGACTGCATGGGGTTCCGGTCACCATAGTGTTGGATAGAGACCCACGGTTCACATCACGGTTTTGGCCTAAGTTCCATGAATCCATGGGAACAAAGTTGAGGTTTAGCACGGCCTTCCATCCTCAAACGGATGGGCAATCTGAACGGGTGATTCAGATTTTGGAGGACATGTTGATGGCGTGTGCCTTGGAGTTCCAAGGAAGTTGGGACAACCAGTTAGCTTTGGTAGAATTCGCCTATAACAACAGTTATCAGGCAAGTATAGGTATGCCTCCATACGAGGCATTGTATGGGAGGAAATGTCGGACACCCTTATGTTGGGATGAGGTTGGCGAGGCCAAGCTTGAAGGCATCGAGCTAGTCGAAATCACTAAGGAAAAGGTGAAGGTCATTCAGGATAGACTCAAGGCTGCCCAAGATCGTCAGAAGAGCTATGTAGATAAACGACGAAGGACGTTGGAGTTCGAGGTCGGCGATGAGGTATTTCTGAGGGTGTCGCCTTGGAAAGGGATCATCAGGTTCCTCAGTCGGGGTAAGCTTAACCCACGCTACATAGGCCCATTCAAAATCATTGAAAGGATTGGGGTTGTAGCGTACCGGCTTCAGTTAACTCCAGAATTAGAAAAGATTCATAACGTATTTCATGTTTCTATGCTCAAGAAGTATGTACGGGACCCGTCACATATTCTTGAGAAACCGCCGGTAGAAATCCGGGAAGACCTTCACTATGCGGTGCAGCCGGTAAAGATAATGGACCGACAGGTAAAGAAGCTAAGGAGTAAAGAGGTACCGATGGTGAAGGTACTTTGGAAGAGTGATCGTGTCGAGGAGCAAACTTGGGAAGTGGAGACCGTGATGAGGGAACAGTATCCATTTCTATTTGACTAGACACGTGGATTTCGGGGACTTTATCCCAAATAAGGGGGGTAGAACTTGTAACACCGCCCCCAAGTATTTGTACTTTATCAAATTATGTATTGAACCCTGAGAAAGGAATAAACGCATCTTACGTGATTGTAAATTTTTTCACTTCTTTTACGTGAACAGTAAAATTCATGTGGGGCCCACACCGGAAGTGGGGGCCGCTCGATATTATCGGTACCACATATTATATTCTTTTGGGTCAAGATAATATGTGTATAATGGTGGATAACCTTGTTGGGCCAAAGAAGTTATATGCGTAACCATTTGGGCATACAAAGCCCATTTATCGGTACCAAAGTACTATCAGATAAAAAGCCATAATAAATTATGGAGACCACCAAATTAAAAATGGGGAATATACATTCATTCTTATAGCCAATAATAATTGGAAGAATGAGAGATATTTCATTTTACCCGATTAAATGAAATATAGTTAAAACAGTCCGGGAAATACAACTTTCGGGACAAAATGTACACTTGGGGACTTAAAGGGATGACCTCCCACATGAGTGGGGGCCACCCCACGTTTTTAGTCTTGCATGGGGGAGGGAGAGCCGAATTGAGAGCAAAGAAATAGAGAGGAAATGATGGGGATACAAAGTGAGAAGGGAAAGGGTCCCCTCTATCACATTATTTGGCCAAAGATGCCAAAAAGAACATCTCCTCACCCATAGGCTCCATTATTTCGGCCAGGCCTTCCCCAAGGGAGAGAGAAGCTCTTGAAGACACACCTCCATAGTTTCCAGCCGTGCTCAAGGAAGAAGGGAGCTCAAGGGAGAGGATTAAAGGTGAAGAAGTGAGGAAAAGCTTGAGGAAACAAGGTAATGGTTCCACAAATCCTTTCTCCTTTCCTCCAATATGATTATGTAATCATATTTCATACCCATAGGACTGTTCTTCAGATCATACGTGAAGAATGAGGGGTTGGAGGGTTGGTTCATATCCAAAACGGATTTGGAGAACAAAGTTGACCGGTTTGTCGGAAAATAACCTTTTAGAGGTTATTTGTATTGATATGGGTTTTATGATGATAAAACCTTGTTATTAACTTTATAAGGTATCTCAAGAACTTTCACGGGGTTGAAAGGGTCGCCGGAGTTGTCGCCGGAGTTAGTTGAAGTTCACCGGAGTTTCACCGGAGCTCAATAAGGAAGGCTAGAACTTCATAAGCTTCTTTTAAGGTGAGAAGACGGCTATATGCTTTACAACTTTTGCGTGAGGCATGAGATTACCTAAAGTAATCAAAAATATGTTTTATGGAATGATTAAAGATAATCAAGTATTTGCTTATGCCATGTTTAACCATAAAACATAGTTGAAAAG